TGGGCAATGAATTTCAGGCGAGGGCCCGCTTCGTTTGAGGCCCGCGGATCACGTGATTAATCCGAGGGGGTCATCGGGATCCTGTAACTATCGGCAATTTGGACACTCTCAGGCCTGAGTATGGAGGATGTACCAAGCGGAAGCTTCGTCTGTGAATGAACCGCGAGGAAGTCTCAAGCGGGAGCCCTTGTTCTATATGGCCCGCACTTCATGTTGGGACCCCGAACGGGTCATCGGAAACTTGTACCTGTCCTCACTTTTGGGCGCCTGGGGCTTGAATATGGAGGAGGTCTCGAGCGGGAGAATCGTCCCTGCGGGGCCCGCGCGTTGCGTTGGCAATCCGAACGGGGTCATGCGAATCCCATGACTGTCGTCACTGTTGGGCCCCTCGGGCCTCACTCGGGATACGAGGAGCGCGCTCCGGGCCAGCCGTTTCGCCCCCGCTGCCTACCGAAGGGGATTTGGCTGCAGGTGCACGGCTTCAAGGAGTCTCCGATCCACCACGAGGTCGCCGAGCTGCTGCGACAGGGCGCCCAAAATGCCGACGGCGACGGCGAGGCCGAGGCGCGGGCGGGGAGCTCGCTCATGTTCAGGCCCAGCGAGCAGGAACTCACGTGGCAGAGCCCGGGGCCGCATGCCGCGCGCCGCTTGGGGTTCACCACGGCGCACGCGTCGCACCTCACCTCCACGCTTTCGCAGGGCCAGACGCTGCGCAAGGGCGTCACCACCGACTGCGCGAGGGACGAGGGCGCTGGTCGCACGGACGCGTCGGACGAGCAGCGGTGGCTGCGCCTCTACGTCATGTTCTCCCGCGCCACGCGCATGCGGAACATGCTGATCCTGCGGCCGCCGCCGCGAGAGTTCCTGGAGCGCGGGCCGCCGCGATCCAGGGCGGCGGGCGCTTCTGGAGTTCGAAGTCAGAGCGGAGAGCTCCAGTGCAGGGGCGGATCAGCTCGCGGCAGGGCTGGGGTTCGTGCTGCCCCCCGCCCGGGCGCGGCGGCGTTCCGCTCGGAACCCGCGGGTTTTGTCCCGACAGCTTGGTCTCGCGCGCCAGCGGCTCGCGGGGTTGCCCCGACGGCCTGGCCCGCGGGGCTGTCCCCGACGACGGCGAACGCGCCCCTGCCAGGCGCGGCGGCGAGGGCGCCGAGGAAAATCTACGCGCGCGCCCTTGCCACGAGGAAGGAGAAGCGCAGGGGGAGAACGAGCGGGGCGTCGATGGGGGGGGAAGTAGGAGGAGGTGGAGGAGGGCAAGGCGAAAACCGAGGAGGGGGAGGAACATGAGGAGGAGAGAGAGGAAGTGGAGGAAACGGAGGAGGAGGGGGAGGCGGAAGAGGAAGAAGGTGGGAAAAGCAACGGGTAGGACGAGCAGGAACAGGAGGACAAGAAGGAGGAGAAGGAGGAGGAGGACGGACGGACGGACGGAGAGGGCGGAAGGGACCTCCGCCAGACGAGGGAGAAGAAGGCGAGTGGCAAATTAAATCGATTGTCGTGCAAGGCAATACCGTCGGAGTGGTGCATAATTCAATCACATCATAAGTTCCCGCTCGAGACCTTCTCCATCAGGGCTGCGCAGGCCAACCGTGGCGACATTTGCAGGCTTCTGATGACCCGTTCGGATTGGAGACGTGACTTGCGGGCCTCATAGTGAAGGGACTCCCGCGTGAGACATCCTCGCAATTCACTCACAGCCGAGCGAACCAAAACTGGCGACAATTCCGGGGTCCGATGACCCGCTCGGATTAAACATTTAATCTGCGGGCCCCACAAAGGGGGGACGCCTGGGTTTTTTTTTTCAGAACCCACTCACAGACGAGGCTCCCGCTCGAGACTTCCTCCGCACTCAGGCCTGGGAAGGCAAAAACTGACGACAAGTACAGGTTTCGACGACCCGTTCGGATTGAGAAGATGATTTGCGGGCCCCATCGGGAGGGGTTTCCCGCCTGCGAATCCTTCGCAATTCACTCATAAACGAGTCTCCCGCTCGAGACTTCCTCCATAATCAGGCGTGAGGAGGCCAAACATGACGACACATACAGGATTCCGGTGGCCCATTCGGATTAGTCATGTGATTTGTGGGGTCCCGTTTGAAAGTCTCCACTCAATTCATTCAGCGGTAGTTATGAGTGAATACGTGAGCCCTTTCAGGAGAAGTGAGTGAGTGAGTGGGATTGTGAGTGAGTGAATAAGTTGTGCGCGAATGGGGGTGATCGAGGGACTGTGACTGAGTGTGTACGTGATGATGGTGTGGTGGTGATGATGGTGATGATGTGAGTGTGTGAGTGTGTGAGTGTGTGGATACATGGTGAGGAAGAGAGGGAGGAGGAAAGATCCTGCGCGGAGGCTGTGCGGAGAAAACAAGAATCCCACTTAAGATGTGGGGAATTATTGTAGATGCATGCGCAATTCCGTCGACCCCCAGAAGAGGATATGTGCGGATTTCGATGTCGTGCGCGATGTTTCATTTCCGTCGTGTTGCCTACGTGTAGCTGTTGCTTTCTAGGCGTCTGTTGCGGGGTCTCTTTGCTGCGTCTTGGATGCTTGGGCGTCCCCCCCCCCCCTTGTTCTGCGAGTTTGGACCCCATGGGCAGGGGGAAAAAGGGGAGGGGTGACAGCCAATCATCCAACGCGCCTTTTCACCTCCAGCAAGCGGGGGTCGGCGGCCGGAAAATATCGTTTGCCCAACACTGTGCGTGAGTATCAAAACACTTCTGAGGCTTTGAAGGTTCGAAGATTGAGATTTTCTGGTGCTCCTGTCTGCTCCTGGGGGGGATTCAGCCTTGCTGTGCTTTCTGCAGCAGCTGCGCCTCGCCGTTGGCGGCCCTGGGCGGCCCGAATCGCTCGTCCCGAACGGCCGCGGGAGGCCCGAGCTGTGGCCCAGAAGCTGCCGATGCCCCGGACCTCCAACGCGTCCAACAATCAGACTGATTGCTATGGCCTTACGGCCGGTGCCGCCGACCCTGAAGACGACGACGACGACGAATACGAGGAGGAGGAGGAGTAGGAGGAGGAGGAGGAAGGGGAGTAAGGTGGAAGGGAGCAGGAGAAGGCGAAGGAGATTTTCCCCATGTGGGCCGAGGGAGTCGTAGCAGAGACAGACAGGTGACCTCCGACGCGTTCAACGATCGGATCGAGTTGTTTCGCCCTGCTCGGCCCCTGGGGCCCTGCGACGGCCCCCGGGCCCGCCCGCAAAAGTGCCTCGGGCCGGACAGCCTGCCAGCGGCTCCTGGGCTCCTCGACCCGCAGACCTCGAGGCTCGAGGCCTCGAGGCTCCTGGGCGCCCTTCGCCCTTTTGTGGGCCTCCCGGAGGCCTCTCGTCGCCTTCGGCGGGAGACCCGACCTCGAGGCTCGAGGCTCGAGGCTCGAGGCCTCGAGGCTCTGGGCGCCCTTCGCCCTCTGTGGGCCTCCTGGAGGCATCTCGTCACCGCGGCTGCATTCTAGGCCTCCCAGATGGGGTATTTGTTGACCAGTTTGGAATGTGTTTGCATATTTGGGTGATTTGTTGGACACGCCCGACTTAAATCCAGGCCTCCCAGATGGGGTCCGAGCAGATGGGGCCGGAGGGTCGCGCCGCATCGCCGAGGCATCGCGGATGCGGCTCGGTGTGGAGCCCGATTTGCTTCACGTCGACGTCGCCGATGCATCGCCTGCGTCGGCGACGCATCGCCGGTGCATCGCCGATGCATCGCCGACGCATCGGCGATGTATCGTCGATGCGGCACGACCCTCCTGCCCCGTCTGCTCCGACCCCATCTTGGAGGCCTCTGGTCGCCGCGGCCGGTTCTGGCCGAAGCGTTATCCAGGGCACGTCCAGCGGCCAAGTTGTCGATTCCCTGACCTTCGCCCGCTCGCGTCGTGAGCGACAGCGCAAGGGCGGTTCTTGCGCCATTTGTCGGCCTCCAACGAGCCTCGGTCAAGGGAGGGAAACCACCCAGGCCCCGACAATTGGCGATTATAAGACGGCCTTGGGCGTTTACTAAACAGCCGTGCCCTGTTCGATTCCTTCCTTGGGTGCGTTTGCCAAACGGCTTCGCTTGCTGGGGTGATTTTTATGGGGGTGGATTTTCTGCCCTCCTATCCGGGACCGTCATGGACGACTCGTGATGCAAGGCCGGTCCCAAGTAAGGGGTCCAGGCCTCCAGGGGTCTATGTCGTAAAAGAATGAAGACGTGGCGGGTCTGTGGTCGGAGTCGTTGTCTCCTGGCGTGTCCTGCTTCTTTGGGGTTACAGTGTCTTCTCGGGTATTCTAAGTAGAGGACTCTGAGAGAAGTACATGGGTTACGCCCTGGCGTTTGGGAAACACAGCATGTAGTGCGTGTTGCGTTTATGTGTTACTTCTCCTCCAGCACTCCATCGGAGCACGGTCTTTGATTCATGGTTCGTGGAGGCGGACGCTTGTGCAAAGATATGTTATGTCGTTGGGGCTCGGTTGTCTTCCATGGAATCTGGACACCCGTTGGATTCGGCTGAGGCTATTGTTCGCATCCCTTGCCCACGCCAACGTTGCCCGGATGCATCGTAGAACATGCGTGGGGCATTGTGTTTGCCTCATGCCGCGCGGACAGATTCGGCAAGTGGTGTCACCAACGTGGTTGCAGTCTTCGGGCACAGTTCTCAGATCGTGCCGCGGCCGTGATTCGCCTCGGGCTCCTTGACCTGATTGGGCGGCGGGGCAAATCGGGAGCGCGAATTGAGCGGGGGTGGGAGGGAACATGGTTCACACGGATCCAGTACAGTCAACCCGCATAGTAAGAACGGGCAATTCTCCCAAGGGTACCCTTGCATCCTTGCCCCTTCGGCCCATCCTTAGCGACGTTCGCTGGCTATCCTCGTCCGAAAAACGTCAAGATCGCCTTTTAAGGCCCTGGCATCCTTACCGCGCATCCTTGCTATACGGGTTGACTGTATGACCAGGTTTGGTGTTGGACGCATCTCTCGAGGGCGGGTCGGTGCATTGCAGGTTTCAGTTGCCGTCTCGTCGTGCGGGGGCCCGACGGGCGCAGGCGTCCCGCTGCATGGTGCGCACGGACTGTGCCCAACATGACATCACGAGGCGCCACCATGCTGCCCTGCTGCCGCTGCACTTGCTACATTGCTATGCGCCATCTGCGCACGTCTTGACTAGATTGTTTTTCCCCCACTGCAACTCTCTCTCTCTATATATATATATCTTCTATTATGTATCTCTCTGTGCTCTTTGCTCCTGGCTGCTTCACGCAGCACTCACCGACCAAAAATGCTCAGTCCAGTTCCAGCGGACGCCGAAACATGTTCCCCATGACTCCCGCCGGGCGGCCCGGGCCTGGACGCCCCAGGACGGGGCATGTGAGGGCTCCGGAAGGCCCCAAAACGGGATCCGAAGAGACAGACAAGGCGGCCAAGGTGCCACTGGGCGAGGCAAAGGCGGCCAACCGATGCGAAGCCAACCGTCTCTCTTGGCTGAGGGCTGCCGTGCCACCGAGATGGATGCCGAGGCCTCCTCTCTCCTCGTGACTGTGCGTGTCGTGGCCTCTCTCACGCGGGTCCAAGACCCCAAGCCAACCGAGACAGCCTAGGCGGCCATCTCGTGCCGAAGACGGCACAAGATGGCTGCAAAGGCAGAGCAAGAGGCGCGCGCCCTCGACGGCCAGACAAGGGCCCCGAAGAGATGCCCCATGAGGCCACGAGGAGGCAAACATCAGTGATGTGCGCCTACGCTCTGACCCAGGCAGCGCAACAAAAATAGCGTCGGCCAGTTTTCGGTAGTTCTTGTCCTCTGGAGAGGCCGTTTCCCAGCTCCAGGGCCGTCAGAAAGTCGTTGGTGAAAAACATGTCAAAGGATTTTTTTGATTTTGACCTCGAGGAGTTTTTTGGGGAGCTCTCCTGGAGCGTCGTGGGGATCCATTTCGTCGTCTGGACGGCATCTTGGGCACTCTTGGAGTCATCCAGACCGTATTGGTGGCGTCTTAGGCCTTCTTGGAGAGGCCATCTAGGGCCAACTTGTCTGCCTTGGAGGCCTTCTTCGAGAGGGAAAGGCGACGGGAGTCAGCTTTTTTTCGAATGCATCCGGGTGGCCCGCGGGCTATGCCGGAGGCCATTGGGAATTTCGCGGAAGGGCTTGACCCCAAGAGGCCAGTTGCAAATTCGGTTCTTTATGCACCCCTCTGTAAGCAGAAGAGAGCGGCGGATCCAGCGGGCGTCGGGCCATCCCGCAGCCATGCCTATGTGTCGTGGACGAGGTCTCTTAAAAGGCGTCCTGGGGTCTCCCAGGAAGGCCTCTCGGGGGCCTCTGGAGAGGCATTTTGAAGCCTCTTAGGGGGCCTCTTGGAGTATCTTGTGGGTGTTTGGGGGGCTTCTGGGGGCCTCCTGGGAGCTTCTTAGGAGCATGCCAGAGGTCTCGTGGGCCATGTTGGGCCAAGGGCCCGAAACTCCAGTTCGGGTCCCCCTTGTCGGCCCCGAAATTCTGGTTCTGCCGTGCGGATTGGGTTTGATGCGTTGACTTCTCATGTCGAAAGAATAGTTCGTGTTGGTCCCCCCTGCCCAGTGCGCCTTGCATCTTCCAAGTGGAATGTTCCTCCCGGGGCTCGCACCGTGTTTGACCATGTCGGCCCCCAGTTTACCACAACAGCGGCTCCCGCCTGAAATTCCCTCACAAAGTATTCAGAATCGCGTTCTCGCTTCTTCACAATGAATGTCGGAATCGCTTTCTCGCGTGGTACTGCCTCGCAAGTTGTTCAGACGCCGCGCCTTCGGTATTTAGGAATTACGCTCTCGCATGGCCGCTCCCATGATTTACGTGGGAATCGTGCTGCCGCTCGAGACTCCCTCGCGATCCATGCATGACTCACGCTTCAGCAACCCGCGTGCTTGACCCAGCCGCCTGGGGCCGCCTTCCCGACCCGCTTTTTAGGGTCTACCCGCCCGATCTCCCCGTCTGGGTTTGCCACGCGTATTCTATTCCTAAGCCCCCCTCCTGCTAGTCTCACTCGAGCTCCATCCTTTTCCCTCCCCCTTGTCCCTTCCTTCCATCCGTCTGCCCTCACCTCCCCCGATTTAGGGGCTGCGCCAAATACACATAGTAGGTAAGAAAGATATCCTCCCAACGGGGTACAATAGAAGACGAATATGGCGGGTATCGAGGGTGTTAGGTACACGTGATGAATGGCGCACGAGCAAATAAGAGCGGACAGTATGAAAACACATGTTGTTGTTGTTGGTGGTGTTGGTGTTGGTGTTGTTGTTGTTGTTGCTGCTGTTGTTGTTGTTGATGATGTTGTTGTTGTTGTTTGTGGTGGTGGTGGTGGTGGTGGTGGTGGTGGTGGTGGTGGGGTGGTGGTGGTGGTGGTGCTGTTGTCGTCATCGTCGTCTTCGTCGTCTTCGCCCGTGACCCACCCGCGACCCACCCGCGACCCACCCCGTGACCCACCCCGCGACCCAACCCCACGACACAGCCGCGACCCACCCACGACCCAATCCGCGCCCGCCCTTCTTATCAGCAACTGCGGGGTGCTACGTGTACCCTGCTTTCCGCAGAGATGGGAAGTTCTCAAGTTCACCCGCGTGCAACGCAGTGCCAGGATGTCACCACCCGTTCCAACAGGGCACCACAAAAGACCGTTTCTGCTGGTCCTCTGGCGCGTTTGCCGATCAGCGGCGGCTGGAGAGTCGTTGCACGGTGCGGTTGTCTCTGATCGCATGGCGTCGGTGCGCGCAGGTACCCCATCGCGATACTCTGCGTGGACTCCTCCGGAGGCATGGTGAGGCACGTGTTCGGCGAGGAGCGCCCGCAGTACCGAAGCCGCTTTCGTCCGACGCGAGCCTGGTCGGGGGCGGGGGGCGGCCATGAAGGATTGGGCAGAGGCGCGAGGGGCTGCAGAATTCGGGGGGGGGGGGGGAAAGGGAGCACGAGGCGGAGGAGGATGAGTTCATCTCCTTGCTATGATTGACAGGTGAACGTGTGCCCCCTCAGTGTGCTCGTGGCTGAGGTTGCTCAATGCCTTGAACTTTCAGAGGCACGTGCGCTGCTGTCAAAATGAGGAGGGAGGAGGAAGGATGTGGGGAGAGGGAGGACGGAGGCGGAGGAAGAGGAGGAGCTGAGAGAAGAGGGGGAGGAAGATGAGGGAGAGGAGGAACAGATGAGGAGTTGAAGGGAAGGAAAAAGAGGAAAAACGGAGCGGAACAAAAGCAGGAAAAAGAGAGGATGAGGAGGAGGAGGACAATAAGGAGGACACGGACAAGGACATCCGCATAAGGGGCTACAACGCTACAGCTACAGCCCTGCTTTCTCACTAGGGCCGGCAGGGGGCATACCCGGTAGCTCAAGGACCGAGCTCCGAGGTGGCCCCGCAAGAGAGGTTCGCTACCTTACATCACGAGTCCCATCGGGTCAGTGCGGGGGGAGCAGCTGTTGGCCCTCTGCGTGCCCTAGGGGAGGGGACGCGCGGGCCTAGCAGGGCGCCCAAGCCAAGGGGGGGGGGAGACGACGACACGACTTCAAAAGGAGAAGAGGGGGGAGAGACAGACGGTCCTAGACCCCAAATTGTTGCTAGGGGGGTTGCTACTTCTACAGATTTAATTATGTGTTCCCCTCTCCCACCCAGCTCACTTCTCGGTCGTTCCGAGAGATGCTCCATGCAATGTCACATATATACTCTGATACCCCGTGAAGTAGCCCAAGGTTCCCTTTCGGAGTGTGTGAGGTAGAGCATACTGGAAGTCACGGTCATAGGTAGGGCCAATGAGGAGCACACTAGTGGGCTTCTGGATGATCACTGTTTTTTCCTTCCACTCCCTGCATTAGTGTACCTGATGGTACTCCAAAAAACACTTCCCATTGCCATGGCGATGCGGGCGCACTGTTGTGCCCATATTGTCTGTCATGAATTGCACTCCGAGAAACCTCGCTAGTGCTCCTCCTGACTGTCTCTGGGCACGACCAGCTCGCTCCTTGCCTAGATGAGCACTCCGAGAATCCTCGTTCATGCTTCCTCTTGGCAAATCTGCAGGCGCCAGCGGGTGAACTCACTGGTGGCCGCTTGAGCTGGCCGCCGTCGTCTCCTCCGACTGGGGTAGCCGAACCTTCCCGCGAAGATTTCTGTGCCATCCAGCATGGTCTGGGTGCTGTCTTTTTAGCTTCTGGCGTTCCTTCAGCCTCTTCACTTCCTCTGGGTCCATGTTGTCCTCGTCCTTCATCTCCCTGATGGCAAGCTTCATTACTTTGTGGAGGTTATCTTCGTCATGCTTCGCGATCTTCAGCGCCAGCTCGCACCAGCTCTGCACAGTGAAGGCCCGCCCTCTGCCCTGACCTCTCCCATTGGTCCGCTGGGTACCTTGCGACGAGGCCGCAGCCTTCGATCTTGTGCGTCATCGGGAAGGGCAGTGGAAGCACATCGAATATCTACTCTGGGCTCGTCTGCTTGGCCGCGTCGAGGCACTTTTAATGGTACTCCTTGATGGCGTCGTCGCGTTCCTCCGGTAGCCTTTCCGAAACGAACGTTTGCCATGCGGTTCCCTCCTCGAGCTCCACCACCAGCCATGGCCCGCCCTTGAACGGAACGAATTTGCACCCGCACCCGATGTTTGGCCATTTTCGCAGTCTGCGGCGAACGTTTTCTTCATCTTGTTCACCCATTCCGCCAAGGGCACGTTCTTTGGGTGGTTCTCCTGCGCTTTCACCAGCTGCAACCCGGCCACCTTGCACCAGAACTGCCACTTATCGCTCCTGAAGTGGGGACTGGGGCCTCTCCACCATAGCTTGTTCGGGAAGGCGAGCCCGCACGAACAAGCTCCTCTCTTTTGTTCGTCCCATCCAGCGCCCTTCCTGCATACGTTGAACAGCTGCATGTTGTCGCTCCTCTTGTCCAAGAAATCCAGCGCCTCGAGATACCCTGGCTGCTGCTATAAGGGGGAGGAGGAGGAGGAGGAGGAGGAGGAGGAGGAGGAGGAGGCGGAGGAGGAGGAGGAGGCGGAGGAGGAAGATGATAAGAAGGAGGAGGGAGGTGGAGGAAGAAGGACATGGGGGAGGAGGGAGGAGGGGAGCGGGGATAACCGACCAAGTATTAGCTCGAATCATGTCTGATTTGGGATCGGTGCGGAAAACAATTAGATCGGGATGACCACACCGTGTGGTGAGTCGGCGGGGTTTCGGGATGACGGCGCAGTTTCGGGAATTCGGGTCGTTCTCCGGGGACGTCTCGGGTGACTAAGGGCCTCCAGGGTCACAAAATGGTGTTGTGACTGATCGTGCAGTGATGTCCATGGGGGCTTCGAGTTTGGGGGGCCGCAAGCAGTAATTGGTTGAGTAAGGCAGCGTCTGGTATGAGAAAGCGAGCTAGTTCCGGCCGTTCCGAGGAAGCCTTCTTGGTTATTCCGGGGAGCCGTTGGGTGTTATCAGTAGTATGGATTGGTTGCTCCGACCGTAGTATGTACATGTTGTTTGGATGAGTTGTGTCGGGCGTTCCGAGAAATTGCTAAAGTTGTCCCAGGATTGCGCTGATGATTCGAATACGTGTTTAATGCTTGTTCGAGGAAGCCCTCTTCGGATTACCTGAGCGTGTGAAGTGGATATGATAATTGTTTGGGTTGACCCAGGACCGATGGTTGTTCCGATAAGTGTTTGGGGGTCTGTTTTGTAAAACATATTTTTAGCGATGAGCAATCGTATGTATCGAAGACGCCCACGGCGAATCACCGCCGCCCCCCGCCTTCTAGAATCGCCCATGTGGCCGAGCGTTGTGGCAAAAGCTCTGCCAAGGCATCGGGCCATGCGTTCCCCCAGCTGGTGTGGAAACCCTTCGGGGATCATTTGGGGGAGGACGGCGGGGAAGATCAAGAGTAGGCGGAGGAGGAGGAGGAGGAGGAGGAGGAGGAGGAGGAGGAGGAGGAGGAGGAGGAGGAGGAGGAGGAGGAGGAGGAGGGGGGGCATCTTGGGAGCCTCTCTGGGGACACTCTTGGGGCCTCCTGGGAGCCTCCTGGGGGCCTTTTGGACCTTTTGGGGTTTCGCGGGGGCGTCTTTGGCCGTCTTGGTGGGCTCCTGGCCCGTCTGACGCCGTCGGGAGCCGTCTTGGGGGCCTCTCTGGGCCGACTTGGGGCTTTCTTGGGGTGCTCCAGGGCCGTCTTGGAGGCCATCCTGGGCGTCTTGGAGGCCTCTTGGGCCGTCTTGGGGGCCTCTTGGGGCCGTCTTGGAGGTCTTTTGGACCGTTCTGGGGCCATACTGGAGACCTCTTGGGCGATCTTTGGGGGCTCTTGGGCCGTCTCGGGTAGTCGCAAGGCCGAAAAGAAGCAAATGCCACAATCCTTGGAAAACTCATGGAGGCCTTCTCGGAGGCCTTCCTGGAGGCCCTCTTGGAGGCCTCTTGGGCCGTCTTGGGCCATCTTAGGGCCATCTTCGGCCATCTTGGTAAGCTCCTGGCCCGTCTGACGCCGTCGGAAGCCGTTTGGGGGGCTCTCTGGGTCGACTTGGGCCCCCCTTGGAATGCTTCAGGGCCGTCTTGGAGGCCATCTTGGATGTCTTCAAAGCCTCCTGGGCCGTCTTGGGGGCCTCTTGGGGCCGTCTTGGGGGCCTCTTGGGCCGTTCTGGGGCCATCTTGGAGGCCTCTTGGGCGATTTTTGGGCGATCTTTGGGGGCTCTTCCCGACAAGGTCGAGCGACAGCGCTTCCCCAGAGCCCACGCGCCAAGCCTCTGAAGATTTGGCAACGTGGGGTTCCGGGCCCCCAGAATCAAAGGAAAAAAAAACGCCTGGATCCGATCATTGGCGTTTACTAAACGGCCCTGAGCGTTTATGAAACAGCCTTGCCTTGTTCGATTTCTTCTTTGGGCGCGTTAACGAAACTGCCTCGCTTGTCGGGGTGGTTCTTATGTTGGTAGGTGTTTTGCCCAACATGAGAAAGAATCCTCAGAGGATTGAGGACTGAGGCCTAGAAATTTGGCAAAGGACCTGAGGACGCGGCACGGCGGCAGAAAGGGCCAGCATACATGTTGTAAGGGTGCGATATAGTCGAGGTCAGGCCACAAGACATGTTGCACAAGAAACCCAATCCTGAGACCCTAGGGCGTCCATTGCTTTTTGGTGTGGGAGCGTCACGTGTTCCTTCGCAAAACCACGGAAACCCAAGAAACCCAGGGCACCCTGGAGGCAAGCAGGGTGTTTCTTGGCATGGGCCTCCACTGCAATCTGTAATACCGTGGTTTCCCGACACGTAGTGTCATGGACCCCCGCGATCTTTCAGAGCGAGTGTTGTTTTCCACGCGCAGTATTGCTGCCTTGGCAAGCTTCGCCAGATTGCGTGTTCTCTTGCGAATCACCGCACATATGTGCTGCGGCCCAGTACCATCGCATGCTCATGAATTTGAGCGGCTGGTTGGCTGAGTCGTGAAGTTGGTTTGTCAGGCAGGCCAGAAAGGAAGCACTAACGTGGATGGAGTACATAGTTGCGTTGCCCTGTACTTGAATGAATGCGTCGTGCTATCTCGTATGCGCAATGGATTTCAACAATGTCCTCCAAGTCGAAGTAATAGGCCGTCCGTGTTTTTTGTTATTGGCGAGGTGCATGTATGAACCGACGAATCCCCTTGCCAACTCACCACGAGGAGGAGGAACGATAGGTAGAAGTAGCTGCCCGTCTTAGTTCTCCAGCAGGGTCCCCTTGGCATGTTTTTGTATGAGTTGGAGTCTTCGGTTCCAAGACACATTCCCCAGACCCCAGGACAGTCACCCCAGGAGCGCCCAGGAATTCTTTAGAGTATTTGCAACATTCCAAATATATAACTCTTGAGAGTTTGAGGAGGCTCCGCTCGGTACCTGTGGTCCAGTGGTGGATAATCCTAGGTGCTCCACGTATCCACCAGCCTATCCAGAAGCGATGTCTAGGCGAGTTGCCTTCCCACGGAAGTGAAGGAGCAAGCAGTGGAACAAAGCGGAACTGCAGCTGTCAAACCGACGGTATCCGCATGAGCATACCCAGGAGTCAACCAGAATGCGTTCGCAGATCTCTCGGTGTGGGAGCCTATTGGCAGCATGCATGAGCCATACTGGGGCTCTATTGGGTCAGTGTTGAAGGCCTTTGGGGCTCTCTTTGGGCCCTCTGGGCTATCGTGGGGTCCTCTTGGAAGAATTGGGGGCGCTTGGGCCATCTCAGAGGACATCGATCAAAGATGGGGAGGTTCAATTTAGCGTCGCCCCTCCGGAGCCCAGACATTGCCTCGTGGGGCCCTCAGAGGGCGCTCCCGCGGCCGTCGAAAAGCCCGCTTGGGCCTCTCTCAGGGCTCTCTTTGACTATTTTGGAGGCGTCCTGAAGCGCATGCACAATTTAGTAGGAAGTCGGGCATGTCCTTCCGTCTACAGCGGGAAGATCAAAAAATAGTAAAACAACAGTCTGGGGACGATTTTTCTATTGTGGTTTGACTATGTTTAGGGACTGCTGGACTACTTCTTATTTGTCCTCCAAAATCCGCCTGTAGAAGGACATGCCCGACCGAAATGTAGTATTTGCTCCAGGTGTTGGAAGGATGTGTTCCTCTCGGGGGTATCTGTGGGAGGCTGCGGGTCCACTGGGACCCGCCTTGGAGGGTTCTCGGAGCCCTCTGGAAGTATCGCGGAGGCCGTCTTGAGCCATCCTGAGTTATCCTTGTGTAAGACGATGAGTGGAGAGGAGGCAGACTGCCAAGTGATCTCCAAATGTCTAAATCATGTTTAGAATATGTGTCGAGAGTGCTGAGCAATGCTTTAAGCATGGTTCGAACATGAGAAAAACATGTAGAAAACATGCTGAGGACATGTTTAATGTGTGTGCGTCAGGGTCGCAGAGATCGCCTCTGTCTTGGCGACCCTCCTTAGGGGAGATTGCACTCTGGTGGGTGCGCGTGGCTAGTGTCGGTGCCGAGTATCGGCGCCGAGAGTCGGTGCCGAGTGTCGTTGTCGAGTGTCGATGCCGAGTGTCGGTGCCGAGTGTCGGTGCCGATCGTCGTTGACGCGCCGAGTGTCGGCGCCGATTGTTGTTGACGCGGGGGGTCTCTAAAGAGCTGCCCCCCCCCAGACACACACACACACACACACACACACACACACTTACACACTTTTTTATCCAATGATAGAACAGTTAGAGTGTCCTGTGCCATGGCATTCACGAAGCTATCTTGTGCCCTCGGGGGCCGTCTTGGAGCCATCTCTTGGGCGCTCCAGGGCGGGGCGCCCCGTCCTGACTGACCCAGTGGGAGGGCACAGGGTTAAGTCGGGCCTGCCCCCCCCCCCCCCCCTACAGGAGGAATTGTCAAAAATAGTTAAAAGAATAGTCGGGGAAAGATTTTGTTACTATTTTCAAGTATTTGTTGATTATTTTCTTGCCACTTCTAACTGTTCGTCCAACATCCGCCTGTAGGGGGACATGCCCGACCTAAGGGAAGGAGGAGCCCCCCCCTCCCAGAAGGTGGGGAATGGGGGGCGGAATGGGGAGCGCGTCAGACCATCTGCGCCCAGAGGGCTGGTGGGTACTCAACTCGATGCCCGCGGCACGGTGGTGAACAATTCCGTGAGAGGATACCTGCACAGTTGATTCAGAAAATGCCGAGCCGCCGCCAGAATTTACCCAAGATGCGCAACCTACCCAAAACGCTTGCGGCCAGTGTCCGTCTGTCGTGCTGCTCCTTCCTGGGTAACCGTGCGGCCTTTCCCTGCGCCCCTTCCTGTGTCATCCGGCGCTCTCGAACTGCCGGCCTGCCCTGCCCATCTTCCGCCGGTTTGGGTCTCAGGCGATCGCAAACATGGATTAAGGGGGCGTGGCTTAGCGACGGGTCCCGCTTCTACGGGAAATGGCGGACTGCTGCCGCCGAGCGAGGCGGCACCGGCCGCACTTTGGGGAGGGCACGTCGTCCGATCCGTGGAGTTGGCGACCGCGCGCCAGATCCATGGATCGCTAATCCATGTTCGATAATTTTTGAATTTTGCTTGGCGGTTTTTCATTTTTCGTCCAAAATCCGCCTGTAGGTGGACATGCCCGACCTAACTCTATAAATGTAAGGCCGGCGCCTTCTGAGAAACAGCCTTCTCAGAAGCCTCCCCCCTCCCCCCCCCCCTCTGCGCGCCGCGAAAGGGGCGAATATAGCCCAGGAGCGGGCGTTACACGGAACACGGAATCGCACGGGAGCCTCGCTGAAGGCACGGACCATCGGCGCCCTCAGATACATGGATCGCTCTCCCCATGTGCGGCTATTCTCGGCGGCGAGCGAGGGGGGGAAGCGAGACGGGGAGGGCCTCCTCGGAAGGCTCGGACTCCCCCCGGCCTTCTGAGAAGTTGCCCAAGCCGTCCCCGAAGACACAGCACACTTCTCAGGAGGCGCGAGGGCTCCCTGAGAAGCCCCGCAACCCTCCGAGAAGGCTCGGGAGTGGACAGAACCCCCAACAGTGACACGTCGATTAGTGAATTGCCCGTTTTCGGTTCTCGAGAGGGCGCCGTGGCCGTTATTTTCCAGGCCTGCGCCCGCCAGGTTTGGGCCTCAGGTCGTTTTCACTAAACCACGTTTTACTAAAGGGAGGTTTGTCCATCTCCGAAAGGCCTCCTCCTCCTCGTTGCCCCCCCCCCCCTCGCTCGCAGCCGATCTTCGCCCCCATCGTCGCCCCCGAGTGTCGGCGTCCCGTGTCCGCCTTCGCCGGCGGGCCCGCCGCCGCTTCGTCTCCGCCCGCGTCTGCCGCTGGCCTCCGCCGAGGGCGAGGCGCGCGGGCGCCCGCGACCAGGGTCAGGTCGGGCGTGTCCCTCTACAGGGCGAATGTTCAAAAATGGTATTTAAATACATATATATATATATATTAATAATATATATATATATATATGTATATCTATTATTAATAATAATAATAATAATAATAATAATAATACTAATAATAATAATGATAATAATGATAATAAAGGGGGCTGTTTTTGTTTTCCATATACTTTTTGAGTTTGTTTGGGTTTTTTGTTGGTATTGATAATTTGTCGCCCGAAGTCCCCTTGTAGGGGACAGGCCCGACCTAAGACTAGGGCTCGGCATCGCGCGGAAGTGTGCCAGTTTTTCTCCGCGAGGGCCATCGAGGAGCAGACCTGGATCATCGGGCAAGTGAAGCACGCACGAAAACGAAGCTTGCACAGGGGGCATGGGCGTCAGAGCGATGGCAGGTAGGGGGGGGGGGGGGAAACATGATAACAAGGGCCATGATATCTCCCCAGATTTTCACGGCGCCTCTTCTGATTTCAAGGCGTCTTTGGCCGCTCCCTCCTGGGTCGCGCACATGCCGCCAGCCATGATTCGTTCCCCCTCTTGGAAGCCCCCCTCTTGGTCGCCCCCGAAAACCAGCAGAAGCACAACGAGGGCCGTCTCCGCCGTCGGAAGCCCGTGGAGGTCCGGCGGGAGTACAGCTGCACCCCTGGAACACTGAGAGTCAGGATCTCCTGAACCCGCCATATGTCGCACGACGCCAGCAGGCACCCCACGGAAAGTATGAATTCCCCGAGGGCCCCAGGGACCCACCGAGGGTCTGGGATAGTCCAGGGGCCCCTCAAAGATCGACGAATCATGTGGCCCAGCATCTCTTATAGCAAGATGTCTCAGAGGGCTTTAGACCCAGACAAGTTTGGTTGCTTGCATGGCATTTCGCCCTTCCCTCCCCCCTGCCGCCGCCTCTGCAAGCAGTGCTGGGCCGAAGAGGCGCCCAAGTGAGTCCTGAATTGCGTGAAGCTCAGGTTTCCCTTCAGGCCTTTCTAGGAGGAAGATTCAAAAACAGTCAAAAAAATAGTCAGGGGGGGATTCGTTCATTATTTTTGACAGTCTGGGAGTTGTTTTTTAGTATTCCAGTTTTTCCCCAAGCTCCCCCTGTAGGAGGGCATGCCCGACCTAAGCCTAGCCACCCCCCCTCTTTCCCCACCGTGCAGGTGGACCTGCCGGAGTCTCAGGAAACCGTGCCTCCTGCCACGCGGTATGCGCACGGCACGGTGGATCCGTTCGGGCGGCTGTTTGCCCCCCCCGCCCCCCCCATGTTCTGCGGGGCCCGCCGCGCGTGTGTCTCGGTTGCTCGGGGGCACTTTCTCCCCGTCGCCGCGCGCGAGGCCGCGATCGCCAAAAAAGTCTCCTGCACGCGTTTTACCTCGTGCGCAACGCCCGGCGGCTCGGTGCACCGTTGGAACCCGCACTGATTTTTGAAGGACGGATCCGTGTCTCGTGTCGCAAGCATGGGGCAGTGCAGGCGGCATGGGACCAGGGTCTTGGATAGTTTGAATTCTGTTCGTTGTGCATTGCCAGGCCTTCTGGCACTTGTCTCCCCTGCTGTACTTTGCTCTCCGCCGTTGGCTTCCGTCTGATGGGACGGTCACGGGAGCGTGGCCGTTCACACGTCTGCGCCGCCCGAGGCCTTGAGCACTCCCCGGAACCCCAGAGATCTCTAAGAGGCCACCTTGGGAAAAAAAGACGTCTCTCGCACGCGTGCCCCTCAGGACTCCTTCGCTCCAGAGGAGACCTTCGACACCCTGATCGTCTGCGAGGACGCTCGCGCCCGCC